AATGGACCGATTTATTGAAACTGTAGTCTTTCAAAACAAGTGAAAATCGCGAACAAAAGCTACAATACGAAATGAAAAAAAGGCAAGCTGTGGAAGCCCTGTACCAACAGCTTTCAAATTGACCCAATCAGATGAGTCATCTCAGGTTGCATGGCCGCGCCGTAGCCATGGCAACGAACTACCTCAACATCGGTCATTCGATCCGGAAATCCTGATCGATCCCGCCATTTCAATCGGGAATTCAAAACTCCGTCCCTATAGGTATTTATTTACTGGCAGTTTTCAGCAATTGGTGTCGGCGATAACCGATAACAGACATCGCCGATTCTATTTCCATCTGAAAGTGGAAAAAACCATTCGATACATTTGTCAGGCCGAATTTTTCACTTATTGGTGTAGCGCCAAGTGAATCAGAGAACCAGTTTAGAATAGCCGATTTATATTCAAGACGGCATTTCCGGCACGACGCCGCCTAAATTCAATCTCTAACGACGTGGTGCAGTCACCGTCGAGTAGTCGTCGTTGCTAAATGATTATTAAAAATTCAAACAATGAAACGCGAAGGTCAGTTTGTTCTAATTAAACATTCAACGCGTTAGCAATTGAAATTACACATTTACCGGGAAACGTCTCATTATTTAAATAAAAATACCGCGTGAATCATGCGAAAGGGCACATTTTTTACGTCGCATAGAACTGTTGATTATTTTAATGTCGACAAGGAAGTGGTTTCCTGCATTGATTGATTGGATAACACACTGACCTTAAAACCTGCGGTTTTTCTTAATCTTAATTGTTGTGCACAGCGAAGGAAACCGAGGATTGTAGGCGCCTAAAGAGGCGAGGGTGAGGCGAGAGGGTGCCAACAATGCCGAAAGTTGGGACTGTGTGGCGAGTGGGTTGGCTTCGGTTCAATGAAATTTTATTAAAAAGGCAGTGGGATGCCAAGAAATGATTTGTTTGTATTACGGACGCGTTCAAAGGTCGAAGCTCGGGTCGAATATTAAGTTTTCGTAGGTGAAAGCCCGAAGTTGCGAATAAATGTCATTGCATAGCCAAAAAATAAAGTCACTGGTACCGGTTCTGGGCAAGATATTTATGTCGCCCAGTTACGACTTGCATTCAACAAAAAGTGGAGTCACAAATTTTGCTTGACGTTAATAATGCAAGAACAGGTGTTCCAAAAATAAAGCAAAAAATGCGGAGCATGATTAAGCGCTTCGTTATAAATAGAATTGCGAAAATAATTTTCATTCTCACGTATCAGTTTTGAAAAAAAAAAAAAAATTGAAATCAAAATTGGTCCCATAAGATATACAAAAAAAACCTGTACGCATTGCTTTTTGGAAATTAAAATTTCAACGTAACTGAATTCATAGAAGTGAAACTTGACAACTTCACATGAAAAGATCTCCACCTAGATGAGTCAACTTTAAATGAACATCATTTTGATACTCATAATGGTAATTATATTGGTTCCCAGAAAACTAGTCACTATCACTAGTCATCAACATTGGTAAAGTTTTTACACTATTGGACTACTGGCGTCAAAACAGCATAATCAAACATCGAATGCAAGATATAAAAATATTAAGTTATTTCTAACTGTATAAACATTTTTTATAACATGTTACTAAACTCAGCTGGCTATGCGAAACGCGCTCAAATCAAATGGTAAATGGGTGGCCGTTTTTTATTATTTTATCAAATCTAGATGTCCAAAGTGAAAAATAAGGGCGGATCAATAAACCACAAATATAAGGGAATATCATTTCCTAAAATTTAAGTTGTATTTACCACCTCCACGAAATTTCTAAAATACAGCCAATTGCCAACAGCGACCCACAAAGAGGCAAACGAAAACGAGCAACCCACCTTTCCATACCCTAGGAGCATGTAATGTCGAGAAAACATGGCAAATGGATCCTACTACAATATTTATTGCTTACTAACTAGTTATAGTTTCCTCAAACCTATAAGGTGTTTATGGCTTTGACGTTTAAAGTACTTTACAGCCGACCCTTCATAAAGCTTAGTAAATGTAAACCATGCCACGTGCCAGGGACGGCCGAGACGCGAAGGACCGGACTAAGAGTAATTTTGTTTTTAACGTTTCTTCCGTACCTTAATTATTTAATCATTATTCTGCACATTTGAAAATATTATTAAGATACTGAAAGCAAAAAACATAAAATCTTTAATAAGAACGATCGCAATCATAGAAAACTGGTCCACTAAGTTTTTTGATAAATCAAATAATTTTGACGATGTCACCGTCCTTAGTTTCAAATCCAGAGGGTACATTCATATTGCTGTTATATTAAAAATAATACATGACTAGAGAGCGAAAAGTATGCAGCAAAATTTTGAGAAATATGATCATGTAATATGCTTGAAATTTATGCAAATATGCTGCAACTTTATTAATATATGCAGAGATATGCAGTTGCATATCCTCCAAAAATTGAAAAGAAGTGTAATAACACAACTAAATTTATTTACAAATTATAAAAACAGGTTTATCAAGCTTAATTTTTTTAATAAAAAATACATAGATAAATAAAATTTTTAAAAATTATTGTCTTACATTAAATAGTGACAAATAAATAAAAATTAATAATAATAGGCCATTTAATTAGTATTTTTGTAGCAATTTATTTTTAAATACTTTTCGAAATATTGTAGCAAAAAATTTTGCCGATGATCCGAAAACATGTTTGTTAATAGAAATGCGGTTAGTAGCAGAAGCTACAAAACACAGTGCCTTCTTGAAGAATAAATTCAGGAAAAGACCAGTACAGGGCACGGCTGATAAAACCGTTAATTGTTAATTTAGAAGAGTCGAGTGATGATGACAGTGACTATTTCGATCAATAAGTAGTAGTAGTTAATAAGTAAATAGTTGTGTATGTCAAAATTCTAACTAATTTGTTGTAATAAAAAATGATTGAGTACAAAGTTACTTTGTTTTTACTTAAAATAAATAAATCGAAAGGCGCAGTTGTCGGTAAATGCAAAACTCAGTCCTGCCCTGTGCTTTTACCAGAAAAGGTCTTTTCAGGTAGGTATCGGTGAGCGGGTTTAAGGCATCCGGTTGTGGCGGCCTATTGAATTAGAATGGGAGTCAAATTGGTGTGAAGTCATAAACGCCTTATATCTTTGAGGGAACTCTACTACATTGTGTATTTCATTTTTGGTTTTGCGCCAAGGAATCCAATCCAAAATATACAACGTATGGTGGTGAATGATCAGACATTTTTTGTGAGCTATTAAAAAAAAATCTTTGACGCAGTTAATGTACTCCTTCAGGAATAACAATTTACAATACATATTTTGAAACATACATGGTGTTAGATTCATCGGTTACACATTTTCTTAAAAGGAGCACCTATATAATTTTACGGATGTACATAGATGGTCTATATGTATATAAAAATGGGAAAAAGACATTAGATATAAAAGCTTGTCCATAATAGTTGTCCATATATTTGTTTTTATGAAAAAAAAATCATATTTAAAAATCCACACACATTCTTAAAAATGAAGGTATGAAATTATGCATACAACTTTTTTAGTTGGTCCCTTTAACAGACGTATACAAAGTTTAACAAGATATATAAACTTATTTTGTGTATTATATACACACGGTGATTTATTAGTTTTCCCACGTTTCTCAAACGCCACACCCCGTACTTTATAACATCTTCGAATTAGTCACTCACTAGGTTTCACTAGCAGTAATTCCAAAAATATATAGGGTGCTATGTTTAATGGGGTGTAACTTTCGAAAGAAGAATACTTCATATTTGTATGATATGTATATATTATTTATAGATCTTTGAAGCAAATGTTAAGTTTGGCAAGTTGTATCAAAATAATAAACCCATCTTCCAGTGCATGTTAAATTGGAGCATTCTGGGTATATTATTCCTACTATTATTAAGCTCATATGTCGATATTAAGCTTATTTTAATTATCTATCACATTAAACTTTCATTAAACACTAAAGAAATTTATGACTATCTTTGCCATTCATGATTGGTAAACAATTTTCAAAATGTTATAAAAACTTAACAACTGTGTAATGTTTTGCAGCATTCTAAAACACTCGTGTATACCACAAAACAGCTAGTTCTTGTAGTGCCGCTTTCAAAACTCTCCAAGATTTCTACTTTTTTAGTAGATTCGGGCTTGTTTCAAAATCGTACTTTAATAAGTGTCTCTTCTATTTTCACCCTCGATGTGAATGCACTGAAAATTACGAATCGAGGTTAATTAAAGCAGTAAATCGACTCAAAACCGGCTAAATTTAAAAAATACTTGCTCTAAAAGGTTAATTCGATAATCTGTCATATGTTTCATTTCACACCAAGGCTACTACGACCGCACTAAAATTTTTCATTACTCACACTTGTATCTACCCAACAAATGCATTCTAACTTTATTGTTTTACGATTCTTCGAATCCGATATCAAAAGTTCACTCTGATAAATATGTGGTCAATGTTTCGCTTCATACTGCATTTGGGTTAACAATGCATCCGCTTTCTTTTTTTGAACTCATTTGAATATCCCAAACCGTTTTGATTCCAGACGTTGGCAGCGCTTAAAATTCGAATAAAAAACTCCTCCAGAGCTATAAAAAGCTTTTAGTTATCGAAGCTTTCAATCAACGTCAAGATGGTACTTAACACCATTACCGAACCCCCTCAACCCCCGACACTCTTCAAGGTCAGTGGCCGACTTGCTGTTCAAAAATTAAAAACTGCTACAATAACAAAACGGAAATCCCTGAAATGGGAAATTAAATGTGTCGGTGTTTACACATACACATCCTTTAGAACAAAGAGTGCAGTGTTTACTTTTTTATGCACCTTGGGTCAACAAGGAGTCATTTATTTTCATAGAAACAATTAATTAAGAGGAGTTTTTAAATGTAATTTGGGTTGATTGGAAAAAGGGTCGCCGCAGCACCCCTCGAAAGACCTAAATTACACTTACTTCTTCCAGTAGGTTGAGTTATATCCTGGGTAAGGACGTGCTGCAAGGATACTAACAACACAAAGCAAACATAATGCACTATATCCGCCATATTACCACTGAACAACTGGTCACATACTGCACAAAAGACCGACTTCTTTCAAGAGCCAAGACAGACCGCTACAACACGTCTTCGCTGTTGTGCTCACCGAGGCCGAATAACAGAACAGTCACACTGCAACTGTGGATAAGGTTGGAGACGTGGTCGGAAAACTGACAGCGGCGCCATCGTGCAACAGTTTGGAACATCTCTTGAAGGAAACTGACACAAGTTTATAAGTCGTGGCTTGGTCGATAAACCTGTTGACACGTCCAAAATAAGAAAAGTCCGCCCCTGGAAGTTTTGTTTCAAGTGGGCGACAATCGAAAGACCAAAATCCTTTAAAAAAATAAAATAAAGGACGAAATCCAGGGGCGAGATAACTTGAATGGATAAAACCTTCATTTTTTACTTGTTTAATCCTAAGTCTATTTATCACCCTTGCGGGTGTCAGGCGGGTGGTTGATTTATTGCATTGGTTTCCTTGTCCATGCTTCCTTTTATCCTTTTATCCTTTTCTCTTTTGTGATTGTCTACCTATTGCATCAGTTACTTTAAATTCCTTTGCCCACATTTTTCTTGGTTTTCCCCTTCATTTACCGCTGATTATTCAAGTTTCGTATATTCTTCAAACTAAACTTGATTTTCCTTCAAATTCATGTCTTTTTACTTCCCGAATGGGTCTATCAGACGAATGACGATTTTCACGTTTTCTCGACGTTATACCGTCTGTCTGTCTGGCAACGATTTTTATTAGACAGATAATTGCTGCAACTACTAGAGCGATTGTTGTCAAATTTTATGTGTATTTTAGACCAGGTAAACCTTTTTATTCACAATCGGTCAGTAATGTGAAACTTTCAAACTTTTTAAAAGTTTGGAAGTGAGCTATTACATACTTCACTTCAATCTCAAGGGTGGAAAGTGACATATGTCACTTATCTGTCACTTTCCACCCAAGAGCTGAAAGTAACTGTCACTTTCCACCCAAGAGATGGAAATGAATGTCACTTTCGACCTTAAAACGTTACGTATGTGTAATTAATGATAGATGGAAATCAGCGATTATAAATAACTATAAGGAGAGCTTATGGTGAAGACTGTCAAGTTATGTCAATTTTTGTATTTTCCAACGCCTGCTGAGTGACTCATATTAAACAGAAATCAAAGTTTTAAATTAGGATATTTTTATTTTATTTTAAAACTATAATTAAAACGATTGTGAATAAAATAGCATACAAACCTCGGCAAAAGTACCATTCCTATGTCTCGAGAACTAGTTCACCTCGAGGCTGCGCCTCTCGGTAAACTATAGTTCTCTCGACAGTAATGGAATACACTTCAGGCACATAATATACTATTATGTGCCTGAAATGTGTCTGAAACAATAATTGAGAACATAAAACATTTCTCACAGAGCTCGGACACATTTTCAGAACATCCCGGCAACCAAAAATGTCGTCCCCTACATTAGGTTTCATTTGAAACATTTCATGTGAAACGTCTTTGAAACGTTTTTGAAACATCTTGCATTAAACATCTTTTTAAGTGTCAAGGATGTTTCTGCAATAAATTAATATACATTTTTAATGCCACTTTTTATACTTTGTTTATATATACAGGGTTATTTAGCTAACTGTTTGTGGTTTGAATGTTTCGGGCAACCCAAAATGCAGCCTCCATGACTGTATTCAGGTTGCCTGAAACATTCGTACAGTTAGCTGAATCACTCTGTAGATCTGTATGTGTATTATAGTATGTACTTACAAAAACCTACTGATATCTGGTTTAGGGTTCGAAATACTGGCTTCTTTTATCACAGTTTAGTTTGCAACCTCAACAAAATGTTTTTACTTTCCGAGCATAAGCAAAGGAAGTATTGTAATCGAGTTCGTCGGCCGACTCTCTACTTTTACATTTTCTCGATCTATCACGACCCTTAGAAGACGAAGAAATAGGTCCACCGTTTCCGTCTGTCTGTCTGTCTGTCCGTCTGTCTGCCGTCCCGGATTTTTATTAGACAGATAATCTCCGAAAGTACTGGACCGATTGTTGTGAAATTTTGCATTTATAAATGCAAAATTATATTTTTAATATAAGTAGTAATCTTTTCACAACAAAAACTTAAAACAGATGACTACGTATTTTAAAAGAAAAAGGCATAATATTCGCTCCGCCCACTCGCCCTATCTCGTGATGAATTTTTTTACCCGCAGTAAGTCGTGGAGGGGAACTTAATTGTAAAATCCTTGTTTTCATATGAGAAACTGCTATGTGAAGTATCTTCTTGAATAATCACGTCGTTTAAAGCAAACTCTATTATGTATTAAGTAAAAATAAAAGCCAAAATATAAGCTCCACCCATCCGTATCGATCCCAAGCTGGCTTTAATTTTTAATATAGACTGTATTTTTTGAAGAACACGAAGCTTAAAAACATGTCTTACATGGTAATTTCTTCTAGAGAAAAAAGGATTTTGAAATAAAGCTCCGCCCTCTTGGTTCACGACGAATGAAAAAAATCATCACAATTGGGACAGGGCGGGTGGGTGGGGCATATATTTTTTGTCTTTTTTTCTTAATATGCGTAGTAATCTTTTCACAACAAAAACTTGACTACATGACTACGTATTTTAAGAGAAAAAGGCATAATATTAGCCCCACCCACCCGCCCTATCTCAATCGTGATGAATTGTTTACCCGCAGTAAGTCGTGGAGGGAAGCTTAATAGTAAAATCCTTGTTTTCCTATGAGAAATTACTATGTGCATCATGATATTCCTAATATTTATATTAATAATATAATTCCTATAATATAAATATTACGAATATCATGTAGGTGGTAAAACGCTAACCAAAATTTGCATAATCATCCCCACCAATAATGTGATGACGTCACTCCAAAATTGTGCATAGTAAATGGACTTTAAATTGTATAAAATAACATAGTCCTACACATCTAGTTTGTGACTCCGAATTGAGTTTTTACCCGAAACGTCCAGATGTTTTGAAAAAAAATCAAAATTATGAAACAACATTTTGCAATTTAATTTGGAATCTGCAAAACCGAATGCTTTGAAATCTTGCAGATGGTTTACAGTTATGATAAGCATGATACATTTTTATTCAAAATATATTTACTTGTCCTCTCCAAAAAATTGATGACGTCACCTCAAAACTTTGCCGAATAAATCCTATCTAAAATGTACAAAATGTACTTGTGATTTATCATTCCATTCATATTTTTTGGATTTGCATATACAGGTCGCTCAAAAAAATTAATGAATGAGTCAATATATTTAATTGATTATATCAGGAATAGTTCACTGTATTTTCGTATTTTCCCGAAAATTTGGAGATACAACACTGTTATTATTAGCATTATATTGCATGTAATAAAATAAAATGTAATAAGAAAAAAAATAGGCATGCAGTCGTCATGTTTCCGACAGCGAGGAAAGTACTTTTGACCAATTTTGTTTTTAATATCTTACGAGATTTATTAGTACATAGGTATAAGGAATTCACGTTCGGTAGATGTAACTAGATTTGGTAACTTTTTTTTTTAAGCTGTGTAATTGCGGACATAATTGTTCTAGTGTATAATGTATTACTGGAATGTCAGAAAGTAGGTATCAAAAATGTGACATGTAAGTAAGTAAAGGTCAAATATCGAAAATGTGATGGTTTTGTGGTAATCTGGTGAATCTATTTTTGAACCAAGGAGAAAATCGCATCCCTCTAAAAGCCCAAAGAGTAACCCGCATGTAAAATTTTGAATCTTTTCCCTTCACTAGTTTTTTTAGGAGGACAAGCTTTGATGTCATCATCATGGATCCACAATTTCACCATGGATCCGTTCTGGTATATCCATGTCTCATCCAAGAAAATGAAAAGCAAATCTTCACCACAATCACGCAATTGGAGATAGGTACCGCCTTAGAAATTTGATTCTGGCAGCTATAACGTGTTTAAAATGTGAAAAACTTCGCCTTCGGAAACCTAAATTTATACGTGTATTACGTACAATTATTTTCAAAGCCGAGTGTTTTACCTCTTACAAAACAATAACGATTATATAAAACTTAAAAACCAATTGTAGAACGAAACCAACAAAGCATGTAGGTATATAAATCTGCGCAGTCGTCTTTCTAATTCTGATTATAATATTAACGGCACAAGCGCCGCTGTATCTGTATTATTTTAAAATTCGAAAAACACTCGACAACACTAGCGAACTTTACGGAGAATATTTCTACCACCAGTTTAACTGTTTCCGTTTTACCCAATTTTTTGAAAACCACGAAATATTTCTTGTTTCTTTTCCTTTAAAATGAGCTTTCTCGTGATTACTTTTATGGAAATTGTTTCCATGCTGTATTTAAGGATTTTCTTGAAACGAAGCGTGTCGAAATTAGAAAAACTTCGTTTTTTTCCACACAATTCAGATTTGACATTTGAATTAGAAAATTAGACAGTTGATGTCAATCTTAAATTTCTAGTGATCTTAAGATTGCAACTTAACCACAGAAAAGTTTCTGTCAGTTACTTCTACCGAACGTGAATGCTTATTACACGAACATACATAAACACTGAATAATACTTAATACTTCCCATTTTTTTGAAATATTTATTACATTGTGGTGGCCAAATTTGAATTAAAATTTCGCGTTGACAAAAAATTAACAGCGGCGTGAAATCGCATTTGAATAATTTGAATTTAAAAAAAAAAATTCAATCTAGAAAATCGTTAAACATAGGTAACCATGTGCACGTTTAGTTCTTTTTCTGGTAGTGGGTAGTTCTGCTAGGGAATTTTAGTTAGAGGGTTGGTAGTGAGAGGGGTGCTTGCTTTGTAGAGGGTGGGAAGAGGATCGCTTTTGGTTTGTTTGTTGTGAGTGCAACCACGTAGTGAGTCAGCTAAGCAGGTTAAGTTTAGTTGATTTGGTAGTTAATAAAAAGGGGGAAGCTTTTGTTTAATGACAATTAATCGTAACGACGATGAAGCAACAGTTTCCTCAATACGCGTAGCTGATGCTTGTGTTTTTTTCCACATATGCGGATTTTCGACCGACACTAGCATGTGGTGTAAAGTTGTTTTATGGTTTGTAAATTCACAGTTCATGTTAGG